AATTTCCATGGAATTTTTAGACCAGACATTGTGTTTTGTATTACTGAGTGCACCATAGCTCAACAAGTAGGACCAGGCTAGCAAAACAGAGGCCAGATTCGGAACCAGTGACATGAAGTTATCCCAAGATGACTGTAATATAAGTAACACCGGAAACACTGTTGACTAGTGTTATCGCATCAGCAAACCCTCAGAGAGGACGGCGATTGTCAGTTAGCATGGCAAAGCGATTTAAACCGTTGCTATTTTGAGTAAATCGAACTAATAGGGAGTCGCTTGCATCAGCGAGCATGGGGATTATGGCAGACGCGTACAGGAAATGGATAAGGGTGTGCTGTGCGGGCCGGATCGTAGGTGCTTTCTCACTTGTATAGCTGCAGCGATCTTATTGGCCGACTATAACATGGAAATGAACGTATTGCTTCCGCTTCGAAAGGACGGGTTATTTTCTTGCTAGCCCTATCCCAACCGCCGAACGATTAGGCAAAGCATGGAAAGAAAGAAGAAAGTGCTACAAGGGATAGAGAGGACAGCGTGAACAAGTCACGATGAGTGAACGCTGCGCATGCGCGTGCATACATGTGTATGCGACCATTCAGTTAGATCAGTGTAAGGGACCGTGGCCTTAGTTCTGCGTGAGCATGTGACCACTAGCGCACGGTTGGGTTCACAGGGCGTACTTCAGCGACAGAGCCTGTCACAATGGGGGCCACCAAATTGGGGCCGCCGAGTCATTTCAAGTGAAGTCGGGTTTCGCGTGTTCGTGGGCCGTGGTAACACTTGTTAAACGGTTCCGACAGCAAAAGTAGTTGCCATGGTAAGATACTTCTTTGGATTGACTGTGTCAGTCTAACGGTTAGTCCTCTAGCATACGCGTCTCACACCCCTACTGAGAAATGAAGCCTTCACTTTGTATGCTCTTGTTCAATTGTAGCAAATTGTAATGCAGCAATATAGCTGGGGTGTTTCTCACCCTTAGCTAATGTACAGAATGAAGGATTCATGATGGAGACCCATCGACCTAAACAATATGTTGGGAAGATGCTTCTCCCTCCGGCCGATGCAATAGAGAACCAGTGGTACTGATAACTAACCTGGTGATCAATATTATCAATAGAGTGTCCTCATTGTAGACTCACGATCACCTAGCGAAAGTTTCGGCCGTGTTACATTTTGCAAAGCGATAATCAGCAGAAAACTGGGAAAATTTTCCGAAAGGATTGTTCAGAGCAGGCCCCTCAAGTTGCTCAACGTAAACCCTAAGCCAAGTCGAGCGCACTCTCGATGCAGTGTGGATGTTCTCACAGACAAACACCTGATATAAACGTGAAATCGCTCACCTCCAGCTCCATTCATAGAGTGTGATCTGGTGGAATGGTTTAATCTAGTCAATGAAAATCGAGACAAAGCAATAGCTTTTTTTGTCTCCCCGCCGAATAGGTGATCCACTATCCGGCAATCCCTACCAATTCTGTCGAATTTGTCCCCAAACGTGCTTCATCCGCTTTTGCTGACACTCGTGAAACACTGTATGCGAACAGCCATCAAGCCTGTCAAAGGGTTGTTCCATCTTCCATATTGTCCAGCGGCCGATATCAGCGCCTACGTGGCGGCCTAATAATTGTCTGTTAGATTTTGTGAGAACCCAACCACGGCTGCCGCCACCTACTACAAGTCAGTCTCAGAACGAAGTTAATGGGCCACTAACTGAAGTCGGCCACGCTATACAGTCGGCTAGAATGTCGACGGAACTTTTACTCTCCGTGTGTGCCATTCACGGAACGCCCTCGTAAATTACGTCTTGTCCGTCCCTACTTTAGCTGTGTTTAAAAAACACCTTGACGTTGTCGTAACCCACGTGCATTACGAGATATAGCCAGTTTACCTCGACAGACGACATAATGTGATGAATGTTGCATAACCGGCCTTAACCTACGTAAGCAAAGTTCACTCTGTTCTGTATAATTCTGTGGGAACAATGTGGTGAGCACCAAAAGTATTTTCATTTTATCACTTTGTTTTCTCTCCGTTATTGTGTGATTCTCATTCTGGCCATCCTACGGGACTTGTTAAGCATCTGCTTTTTTACCTGTAATATCAGTCGGTGATTAATCTCATCGTGGAGATGCTCGGCCAGAACGAACATCGTCTCTTCGTAAGTATGAGTTATGTAATAATGGTATAATACAGATAAAACAAGCTAAGGTTTGACAAGTCCCATATGTCTATGTGAAATACACAAATGTAACAGCAAAGCAACCTACGCATCTGGGGACTCACCATACTATCCACGTGGGGGTCGGTAAGCACAACGTTGGTTTGCGTCTTGTCGTCACTGGATAAGCGAATTTCATAACACGTGATGCAGATGGTGTAATGCGTCATCGAGTCGTTTTTAAGAAAGTGGGTCACGTAGGCGCATAAAGGACAAAGTCGGAAGAGCCTTCCGCGGAATACAAATTCGAGGGAAAAAGTAATTCCGTCCGCATTCCAGCCGACTGTGTTGGGTAGTCAGTATCAGTTGGTGGCGCCTCAGTTTTGTGTTGCAGCTAAGTTCGAGGAGGTGGCGTCAAACGTGACTAGGGTTTTTTAAAGAATGGGTTAGAATGAGGTTACCCAATAGACGGCGATAATTTCCACTGGACAGTTTTAGCTTTCAGCCATAGTTGGTATCGCAGACGGCGGAATCCTTTAAGTGCATTGCCGCGAGGTGACAAATCGCTCTAGAGTCATCACAGCTTGCGACAGCAGAAGCTACCTAAGAGTCGTGCTACCTGTCGCAAAACCCGACCCACCAAGGATAAGTGTTTATGAAGAAAAGACAACGCACCGAAAATTACAGCACGGTTGATCTTCATGACGCCTCGACATAGTTCATGTACTTCCATTAGGAAAGAAATTTTCCGGCCGATTTATGGTACGAGAGCAGCATTCAACACAGCTCACTGGATCTTTGAAATCTATACACCATAGCAACATATGAAGGTTCATTCTCGTTGCAAGCTCATCACTATTTGTAAATCACTGTGATGGTGGCTGAGACCGGGGACGAACGGGGCCGATGCGGTATCGATTGACTAAGGGTCAATCAGACGAAAGCCGATCACGCACAACTGGTCTGGCCCAGCTCGATGGAAAATCAGCACGCCTTCGGGTAGCGGAAAAGAGGATTGGTTGGCCATACGGCGAATGGGTGGCACGCACCTGAGACCATAGTAACAACATGGGCAGGTGTGTCAAATAGCCAACAATGGAATCATTGACTAAATGAGCGGACGGACGATCAGACGCCACCGTGCAGTCTATCTGTGGTGGCAACAACGAGGCCCAGTGTAACCATGATTTCGGTATGCGTGGATCGGCGCGTAAGGAGAAAGCGCACAAACCAATGGGATGTGGCTGACGTTACAGGCTAGTTAAGGAGGGGTAGCCAGTGAACGGACAACATCGAAATGTTGTATGTACTCTAGAAATAACCAAGCGTTCTGAAATAATGATTTGTGATCGCTGCCCAGACTCTTCTTGGTTCTCGGAGGGCAACACGACAACCGCATTGCTTGTACTACAATCATGTTTGCAATCAGCTACTCTGAAGTCCGTGTGGAACCAGTGAATAAAATAGGGAAGATGATGTAATGCGATCAGACCACCAGGTTGGACTGTGCATCAAACTGCCGAGAAATATACCATTATTTTTATGTGCCTTTCCGCACGCATCAGTGGAGTAATTGCGAGGTCGTTTTCAGCCGGTACTCTTTTCATTTTCTATGTATGAACACGGATACTAACAACCCGCATTGAAGGGCTCATCTTCCGACTCTCACGCATCGACCGAGAAAGTTGCGACAATAATTTGTCCTTTTGTAATATTTTAAAGCACACCCATTCTACCATTTGAGTACATTTTATTGCTAGTCAGTCAAGGTCGCATTCCAGCCACTCTCGGTTTGACGTCGCATCTGGCTAACATGCGCCATTTCGAAGGATAAGACTGTTGTGAAAGTTGAGAACCGGAGGTTATTTCTTATCTTCTCCGTTTCTTATATCTTTTAGTATTCCCCAAGAGAGGTGATAAGTTAAAGCACAACTCCCAACTCGCTAGCTCTTAGAGGGATTGCGGTAATGCTAGCTGACACACACTACCATGGCACGCCATTCACCGTAGCGATCTCCCTCGGATTATCCGACATGGTGGTTAATACGTGGCGGATACTGTGAGCACAACCGACGTTCCAGTAATGGTAAAAGGGTCCCGTACTAGTCAGCTGAAGTAACTGATCGGATGCACGAATGACGCATTATTTGGAATTCTCAATACCACCATGTGTTGGAGAAATGTTTCCTTCATTTATGAATCACTGTTGTGGTCTGTAACTATGCAGTTACTCGATCAGTTTGACGATCAGTATATCTATTCCATATGCTTCTCAAAGAGTGCGAAGTGACAACCGGTCGCATTAGTGATTGGGTTATAGATACTGGGCCTCCAATCAAGAGTCAGTAACAAACGTCAAAAACAGCTTAGATATGCTTCCCGAGGTCATCCAGATCATGCGGATTGTGCACGGGTTAACAAGTGTGTCGGCGTTAAGGCGGTTCAACACTGGGTCCGGGATGCACACCAGTAAGGAAGGATAACGTGGTATCAAACGAAAAATGGGCAACAAGCATATAGGGCAATGAGCAAAAACAATATGGATAATAGACGAAGGATAGTGGTCATCTATAGTATCAACCCAACTTCAAAACATAACGGTCGAACGGCGATAAATTGAAAGTCGATACCGTCCTACATGATCGCTGTTGAAACAATAGCTGTTCGCTTACAGAAACCGACAATCACATCTGCGTAGTTATCATTCGGTTGCCCCACGTCTCATGGAAGTTCAGCGTTTGGAGCGAGATATATTGAGAAATGTTCTGATCATGTTACAGTCATAAGACACTGAGTGATATTATGCGAAAGTGACAGCATCCAACATTATGATTTTCTGACTTACGGTAGGCTCAAAGTACGCGTGTCCAGTAGGTCCGATCCGCATGTGTATATCTCTGATAAGTCGACCATTGACATAAATCTCGACCTTTGGGAAGGAGTATAAAATTACAGTTATTTGGCGCTTTGCCTGACACAACTTGTTTTTAAATATAGTAATGGGACAGTTCATAATATTTTTCCACGATTCTAAATAAGTAGGGAAGACTGAACTTACATTCCCAAGCCTAATGATTGTGATGATGAGTGATGAGCAGTTGCTACCAAGAAACTTAATTTCTCTTTCTAAGATTAGAGGCCGCGAAAGATATCTGATATCCGAGAGAGGTAGATGGTTATTGGTGGCTCCAAGCCTTTTGCCAACACATGATTTTCCATTATTCCGTTAAACCGTGTTCAATGCAGTGTTGATCCCTCTGGCGATTTTGCGGTCTAATTTCCCCATCGTATTGAGGTTAGGAAAATACTTTTCAGTATATACAGTGCAGCATTTCATCACTGTTATATCAAATTCAATTGGTGCAACTCAAATTTGAGACCATTTCCTTCGAACTCTGCCCATGTAGATTAACCTCATGTGAGCAGCCACGGTTGTAAAAAAAAGAAAACATTCCGGTCGCTAAGTGGATTGGACCGGGAATCGGAAACGGAGAAAAGCCAAAGAGCACGGAATCAGCTCCAGGGATATATTGGGGAGAACCAGTGCCTTTCAAGTGAAATTACGGATAAGTTGTAGAAGTAGGCTGCATATTCCCCACCATCTTGCTGTCTGTGCAACCACTCGCCTGCCATAATACCGTCCCACACATTGGCGTAACGTGCTGACCGAGAAAAGTGTCAGGACGAAGGTTAGTAATGTGGATACCGAGTAATACATTGCTAATCTCACGCTTCAGAGCTGCTTGATGCCTCTATTTTGCTGTCTGTCACCCACAAATGCGGGACTTGTTTATACCCCAGATGGACTCGCCTTAATTTGGTTCAGTGTGAAATTGAATTTCACTTACATATACTTATTGGTGGCACTGTATTAAAAGACGAAGTGCTGTCGAGTGAGATGGTTAATCACCAGATGGACGTCGTTCATGGTGTCGATACGAAGCAGCAACTATCTTCCTGTTTTGCAAGGTCCTGTAACCGCAATAAAGCCCCATAAAAGTGAACGTGAAGTTTACTCATCCAGGTACCGGTCTCAAAAAGTAGATATCACATGACGTGCCGGTACTTTGTGTTGATGTTTTGCTGCCATGCAAGCGCAGGTAGTTCAATGAACAATGAACAATGAATTTATACGGGTTAAGAAGCGTTGCTTTACAAGTCCCGTTGGATAGTTGCAGGGGATATCAACATAACAATAATGATGATAAGCATAGTAAAATAGTTAATACTTTAAATATGAAAATAAAGACTTATCGTTTGCTTCGCTGCAGTCCTGCGATCCTCTTAGATTCACAGCATCCACAGTTAACAACAAATAATTCCATGGTAAACTCTAGGTGTAGGATGGAGACGTAGTGTTAAGTAACAAAGTGTAAGTGGATGAGTGCATCGTCCAACCGTCTTTTAAATACTGTTAGTGTCGGTGCAGAGACGACCGATTCTGGGAGAGCATTCCACGGGTGACAGACATGGATGGAAAAGAAATTTCTGCAGCACTCCAGACGACTGTATTGTTCTGCGAGTTTTAATGAGTGGCTCCTCAGGTTTGTATTGCTGCTGAGTTGCAGTAAAGGGCGGCACACATGATGTGGGTCTCGCAGAATCAAGTATGCCATAATCAGGTCGCCTCGTAGTCTGCGATAGCTTCTTGGCTGAGGCGCCACCACGGCGCACAAACCTAGGCAGTGGTTAGTACACCATTCCGGTGTGCACAGTTGACGTTAGCAAAGCGGTTATTATCTATTTATGCCGAAAGAAATAGTGAAAAATCGAAATGTTCCAGAAAGCCACAGGCATATTTGCATTACGTGGTGAACAAGCGATGTTTTCCACTGTCTGGTGACCATCTGTCCAAGGTGACCAGTTTTTGTCTGTCCATTGAGTGGTCGCCTTAGACAGGTTCGACTGTATACATACATTATAGTTCTTCACCGCAGATAGGCTACACCGACTTACACTTAAACTATATATTCGCAACCTTGATTAAAAGTATTCCTCTTTATTTGATTTGCTCAGTTCTGTTATTCTGCTGCAGATTCCTTCAAATCCTGTGTTTGTTTTTGATATCCTCACTGTGGCTACCCTTGATGTGAATGTTGACAAAGTGCTTACGTGTCTAAAACCATTCACCTCGATTACCGGATCCAGGAGACTGCTAATATTTGCTGGGGAGTAGGGGACGGGGTTCACGGTCCTCGTGAGGCTGCTAAGCTCAAATAGTGGTTCCATCCTGTGTGGAGTGGACTACGGCCCATCTAGTGTCTTGTGTACGTCTGGCGCGCATGATTCCCAAATTACAACAACAGGAATGTTGCTGCCGCGCACGCTGAAGCAGTGTGGACCGGCTCTGTTGATGATCAAATCGAGAATTTAACCTACGCAGTAGCATGCCAGACTCATTTTGTTTCTGCGCGAAGTGTAATACTATCCCACTAGTTAAGACCGTAATTGCACTGTCCCAGAAGTATGATAGGCTGGCATAATTGGCTGAGCAAATTGTGGGCAGCAAAATAGCTTCAGTAAGAATAAGCACAGCGAAATGTCTGACACGGGTCTCTCCACCTAACTCCCCTGCAAGCCAATCCCACAACACCGGATGTTACACTAACAAAGTGATTCCTGCAAACACCGCCATCAGCCCAATTCGCCCAAGCGTTTACGAACACCTCACCTCCAGCATATTTGCAACATCATCCATTATACACGTTAGCTAGAGGTATAAAAATACTTTAACTACTGTACCGAATACATAACCGTAAAAAGAAAATAAATACAGCAGCTACACACCAGCTGAGCCACTAGCAACGGATGGGCATCGTTCCGGTAAGCTAGCTGCCGGTTGTTAGGCAACAAGAAAAATTGCGATGTATAATTACATTATGCTATGAAATGAGATCGTAGGTGGAGGGGAGGCTAAAAGGGATGAGGAGGGACAAGGAAACTCATAGCACGAACGCCACTGAGATCAGCTCCTAACCATATCAGCAAGCATATCTAGCCAAACGTGTTCATCGTCCTTCGGACCCAACCAGGGAGCCGAGACGCTCCAACCGAGGTCAGCTCAGAAGTGAGGGCCTTCATTTCTCTCAAGCAGGTAATCGCTTGGACACGCCTCCTCTTCTTCCATCCACACCCCCGGCGCGCAAACAACGCACGTCGCGGGAGTCGGTGGGATGGCATACACAACACGTGGCAGAGTCATCGGAGCCTAGTGGGTAAAATAACGGTCCTGAGCGGTTCAGTTCCTTTTCCTGTGCCGTAAACGAGGCGTCGAACACGCTCGTTGCTCACGCGGTGTTACCACCAGATGTGAGCTAAAGTGCGAAGGCACCGGTGGCCGAACGTAACTAGTCTCTTTATGTCCGTTGATCTAAGGGACCAGGTTTCGTAACCGTACAGTAAGGTCGAACGTACCACTACATTGTACACTCTACCCTTCCGGGCGAGAGTGATGTCGCGCCGGCGCCAAAAGTAGCGAAGGTTAGCAAAAACGCCTCGAACTTCTGTTATGCGGTTCGTGATCTCATCCTCAATCCCATGGGCGCTGATACAAATCCCCAGGTAGTTGAATTTTTGAAGGAGTTCTAGCTGATTCTCACCAAGAGTCCGCGCAGAAGGCGATCCTTACCAATCCTAGAAGAAAGCTTTGCACTTCGATGGTGCAAAGCAAAACCCGAAGCAGCTGACAGCCAGTGCTTATCTGTCCAGTGCAGTTTGGCAGGTCTGGAAGTTGTCATAGATTAGGGAAATATCGTCCGTATACTCCAAGTCAAGAAGTCGTTCTCCTGGGAGTAGCTCCACACCATCTAAGTCGTATCCTGTGAACGCGATTTCCATGACTTCGTCAATAGCGAAGTTGAAGAGGAAAGGTGACAGCGGGCATCCTTGTCTCACACCGCTGGAGATATTGGAGGGCAGCGACAGCTTGCTGTAAGCCTTCATTCTGCCCGTGCTACGCGCCTATAATGCTCGGATAATATTTACATATTGCTCGGGCACACCTTTCCTGAGTAGACAGTCCCAAAGGGCACATCGATCAACCGAATCGAAGGCACCTTTGATGTCGAGAAACACGACTACGGTGAGCCGCCAATATGTGTGACGATGCTCCAACAACTGACGCAAGGTGAAGATGTGATCAATGCAGCCACAACCTCGACGAAACCCGGCTTGCTGTTCACGAATCTGGCTTTCACGAGTGCCAGTCAGTCTGTGAAGGATGACAGAGGCAAGCAATTTGGAGGCGATGGAGAGCAGACTGATTCGTCTATGGTTGCCGCATTCCGATCGTGAGCCTCCCTTGAAAATTGGGACTAGGACGGAGCGGCTCCAGTCGGTTGGGATAGTTTCCTGCTCCCACAGTTTCACTAGTAATTCGTGTAGATCATCAACAAGAGCAGGTCCTCCGAATTTGAAGAGGGCTAGAGGAAGATCATCTGGTCCCGCGGCTTTATTTAATTTCAACAGTCCGGTCTCACGTCCGACTTCTGAGCGAGAGGGTGGATCCAAAGGGACAGCCCACGGAGCACGGCGATCACTTGCTGGTGAGGAATCGAATAATTCCGGTCGATTAAATTGCTTTCCAACATGCTCAGCCCAACGCTCCAAACGTTTTGATAAATTGTGGATAGGCTGTCCACTCTCGTCACGTATAGTTTCACTAATACCAGGTCTGCTGCTGCCCATTTCCCGTATCAGACGGAATAACTTTCGATGGTTACCGAAGGCAGAGGCTACTTCCATCTCTGACACACGAAGAGACCACCAGGATTCGCGGTCTCTCTTCAGGCTAAAACGGAGTTTTGCCCGGAGCTCTTTGCGAGTTACATTGTGTTCGCTTCCAAACGGAATATGTCGAAGAGCAACGATAAGTTCCAGAGACCGGGAAAAGCCCCAATGTTCATGTTGGCAGCAATTTGCAACAATTAC